GCAGATTCGAAGTCATGCAGAAGAAAATACATTTTCCCCCCTTTAGCCTATCATCTTTCAAAAACATTTTTGCTTGAGTGAAGGGTTGCATTGGTTTCTAGAACCAGTGGCTTGAAGATGTGAACGCTTTTGCAGTGTGGTCGCCACAGGTGGCTGTCCTTCAGTCTGTGCAAAAAGGTGGTTCAGTCAATCTGATAGGTTACAGTATCTACTGTGCACTCACACTACATTCCTTTGGGGAGTGACGGCACCAGTTCTTCTATTAAGTAAGGCAGAAAATGGCCACAGCCACCTTTGTAACATGGAACCAATGGTGGTGTGACCTGCAAATGATAAAACAAAAAAATGTCCCAGAAGCTTTGCCAGATGTGTAAATGTATTTATTATAATGCTGCATCTCTTCAGTCTTTTTTTGTTATTTGCAAAATTTGAGAAAGACATGCCAAATTCCTTCAAAGTGAAATCAGAGTTTGGACTGACGATGCTCCCTATATTGTATGTTGCCCTTTTAAAGCATGAATTTAGATGTAAAGACTTATTCCATGAACAGATACTACATGAGTATGAAGTCCAACAATCTCTTAGTTTTACAGCCGGGGTAAAAAGTTGTCTTTTAGTATTAGAACTTGGTAACAAACCAGTATCTCGACTATTCTGTTTGAGTCTTCAGGGGAGGGCACACGTAACTGAATGCTCAATTTTAAAAAGATCCTTGCTTCTTAGAAAACTAGCATATCAGGGTGAATGCTAGCCCATAATCCTCTGACATGCTACTTTTCTTCAATGCAGGGCATTTGATATATGGAGGAACATTCAGTCAAGTGAAATCCCCACCTGCACCCTAAAGGGATGTAGCCTAGACACAGTGACAGGTTTGCCATAATGATCCAGTTGTGTATGAAGTTCAGTTGAAGTTCATGCACAACAGAGCAGGTGGGAAGGAGAATCTTATTGGTACAACACAGCATTTTTTTTCTTTTTTGCCATAGTGATGTGTGACCTTTGTTAAGTAATAACTGTGGCCAATTAGCCTCACTTCCCTTGGGGCTTGTATATTAAGAGCCACTTTTGGGTATTGCACTGTGCATGGTGGGTGTTACCTTTTTCTCCAGAGAAATCCCACTGAAATTCCTGTTACAACATGACAGGTTTTTCTGGTCACATAAGTTGGCACAGGAGTACTTTTAATAACTCCATAATAGGATTTAAGACCTTCGGCCCGTACGAAACTTAGAAGACGCTCCCTATAACCAAAGAAAGTGCCATTTTTGATGGAGTGGAAATTAGATCCCATTGCTGCTCTCTTTGGCCTGTGCCTCTAGTGTTCACACTAGGGCATGCATATCTCCAGTGAACATTTCCCTAGCTCTGATTTGATACGAAGTGGGTATGGACTAATTTCTTCTGTGAAGCAGCCCCAGAGGCATTGGGATGGATCTGAAAATGCAACACTAACTATATCTTTAAACATTGCCTTTGTATAGTCAGAGGATGTACTTGTGTGCTGAATTCAAGAATGTATATGTGGGAATGGGGGAGGGGTTGATATTCCCAAAAGGCTTTCATCTCTTATTTTGTTTTTCTTCCCTCCCCAGTCTTCCTCTGCTGGGCAGGATCTTTTTAAAATGTGAACAGATGTTAGCCACACATTTGATCATCTAAGAACAAGTCATTAAAGTGCTAAGTAAGCCTTCAGGATCACATCAGAAATTGTTTGGATTCCTCTTGTGGCTTTCCTCTCTCCCCTTGGCTATGTAGTTATTTTTCCCCTCAGGCATGGCACATCTACCAAAACGCATCAGTAGTTGTTTGACTGCACTGCGTGGTATGAAACTTTCTTGGCGTCGAACGAAAAGATTGGAATAATGTAGATTCTAAAATCTGTTCTGTAGCTGCCATTCGTGTCTTCCTCCTTAACGTTTCATTCTGAAATCCTGACTGTGTATTAAGGTCCAGTACTGCAATAGAAGAAGCAAGCCACTTTTCACACCACTGCTGTTAACAAATAAGATTATGCATGTACAAAAATGTAAAAATGGGGTGGGGAAACATTCAAACTTGGAGATGGGGGGAAGGAGGGATGACATTTAATTTTTTTTTCTCCCAAGTAGAATGTTGGTAACAAGCATTATAGAGGGTATTTCTTAACGCTTTTTTTACTAGCAAAAACTAAATCCCAGCAAGCCAAAGTGTATTATAAGAATTTTATGACTTTGATGTAAAAAAAGAATGCTTAGAATAAATGTGTAGGGTTTTTTTTAAAAAAAAAATTACAGCTTCATTAAACAGAAGATAAACCACTATTCATTGAGAGGCAGTAAATAGGAATGTGAAAAAATACAGATCTGGGGGTGGGGGTTCTTCCAGACAGCTAAATTCTGTCCAACCTGTTAGGTATGGAGAATGTAGATTTTTTTTATACAGTTGAACATTTTAGCATGATTACTGCTTCATTAAGAAGAGGATTCTTTCTACTCAGAGCCAATAGTGGGGGCTGTGAGCAGTTCTTTATAGTTTCTTTGTGTATTTCCATTCATTTTCTTTGAACAAAACACTGACTTTCCTCCCCCTCTCTTTCTGTATGCAAGTTTTAAAGAAAAAAAATGAATGAATGTCAATGAGAATCTGTCCTGCAAATGCGCTGCTATGTACTGATCTCCTTGGGTTCTTTTTTTGTTAAACCGTAACATCTGATTAAACCCCCCTATCAGTTTTGATTATTTATTGTAATGACCGAATAAAATGTTCTACACTTTTCTGATCAGTATCAACATTATTGTGCAGTCTTATGAAATCTTAGTTATTTACTCTTCACCAGCCACCTTTTTTGTTGAAAGGCAAGGCAGATTACTAAACAGAAAAATGATGCAATCAGGACAGCATAGATATGACATCCAATAAATTACAGAAACAGGACCAGGAGAACAAAATTAGAAGACAGTGCAAACCAAAAGCAGTACAAAACGTGCCGATGCAGAAGGTGGATTACAAAAATTCACAATGCAATAAGAGAAATGCACTAAAGACTGGAATAGACTACACAGTCCAGTAAATGTACCTTTCATAACCATTCCATTACAACACTATTTCCTCTATATTGCTCTCCTGAACAATTCTACTTTACATTCTGTGGACTGACAGAAGTGGAGGTACCCTTCCTGGGATTGGCAGTCTGACTCTAGAGCCAATCATGGCTCAGAATGGAACTAAACAGGGCACTTAAAAAGGTGTACTGAAGGGGTAGGTGGCATGCTAGAGTAGCCAGTATAAGGGAATGGTTGGCAGACATTTTTATTGGTCTAAAGGGCTTGTGCATGCCCCTTCTCCATACAGGACCTGCAACAGCTAGTGTTTAGACTGCAGAAACTATGGATTATTAATCATTCAATTATCAGTAATGCTAAGATGCATAGTTTTAGTTACAAATGATCTGTTATTTATTTCATTATACTGGCTTTTTGATCTCTGAATTTTGGCAGCATTTGGCTGTTTAATCAGAAAAGATTACTGACCCCAATCTATTTGCTAGTTTCCCATTTACCTGCCCTTTTCCTGTAGTCAATGGCTGCTGCTTATCCTAGCTGCCATCACTGCTCACTTGGGCAGGTGAGGGAAGAACAGAAGCAGCATGCAGGATCCCAATGCTTGTTCTCTGGCAGGTGTAATCAGCTTTCTAAGAGCTGGCTTGGGGGGGGGGGGTGTTTTCCATACCTTGTGGCCAGACAGGGCTAGAAAAGTACCAGAGTTCAAACCTACCCAGAAGATATAGCTTTACCTTGGAAGCCTTTCTGCCAGTGAAGGACAACAGGTTATGATTTTTCTCAATGGTGAGGTGAAAGGCACCCTACATATTTACTTATGTTAATTTTTAGCCTGCCTTTCTTACAAGGATTCAAGGTGGATTACACATAATGAATACAATAAAATGGGACGTTCAATAAATACTGCATTTAGGAGAGTACAAGTCTGGAAACAACCAGAAGGAACTGAAACACAAGTCTTGACACATTAAGCAGTGCAAAAATTACATAAGAGGATTCTTGTCACTCCTGCTTCAGACCTTCAGTCGCTAAGGGTGCTGTTAATATGGTACCGAGAGCCCGAGGAAACGGAGGGTTCTGATTTAAATCACTATAATTCCCTCTTTTACCCGGGGGGGGGGGATCCCAAAGCCCCTGTCCTCCACTTGTTTGTATCTGGCATTTGAATCCAGATTCAGGCCTCGTAATTAGTGATTCTTTCTCCAATGGGAACACTACAAAAGCAACTGCAGGGAACACATCCTCTCTATATCACGTTTTCCACTTGTTTTCTTCAGAAAAACAAAAGTATTTTTAGGCCAACATCTTCCTCTTATTTTCTTAAAACCAATGATCTACAAAATGTTCACTAAATAGTCGTCGTCGTGCCCCCCCCCCCCCAACGTTTCAGGATAAATCACGTCAACTAGAGGTACTTTTCCTGCTACCGTATATATGCACGCGGGATCCTAAGTAAATCCCCGTACACAGTCCAATAGATATTATTACCACGTAACCATACACCGTACTGCAGCCTTGCACATTGCTTTTATTGTTATCAGAAGTAAGCCTAACAATGTTGTGGGCTCACTCCTTAGTAAACGTGTATAGCTGTGGAGCCAGAGCACAGGTGCTACTCTTCTGCTTTAAAAAAACAAAACAAAAAAAACAACGCGCTCCGAAATTTGGAACCTGCGAAAACTATCATCACGCCACTGGGCACCGTGGTCTTTGCGACACGTCCCCATGAATCCGTCAATGCTGTTTCCAGTCGCGCACGCGTCTTCCTGGCAGCCTCCTCTTCTTAGCATCCCTGACCTCTCCAACATGGCTGCACCCCTGTCCCCAGCCCACAGGCCTACGCCCGCCCCCTCTTTGTTCCACCTCCCGTTCTTATTGGCGAGTGGAGCTCAACTCGGGATGTTGATTGGATACTTTAAGGAGCGTAGATGTGTGGCGGAAGCGGCTTTAGCGGGCGAGCGGCGAGCCCCCTCTCAGATTAATCGGCCTGGCAGGGAATGTGGAGAGTAGGGATGGCTGCTGGCGAAGGCCTGGGATCGGCACTCAGGACGGTAAAGGAGCGGGTGCAGCAGGCAGCGGCCCGGAGACCCCAGGTGAGGGGGAAAGAGCTCAGGCGTCCTTTGCTGGGAACCGCTATACTGAATCGGGGGTGTCTGGGGCAGCAGCAGATTTTTCGGGGCTTTTCAGGAGGGAGTTGAGGGGTAGTGTTTGTGCCCGACCTCGCCGTTCCCCTGTTGAGCCGGGACAGTCTCTATTTTCTGCTCTTTTGTACATTCCTCTTCCTTCTTGGTCTTGTCTTTTTGGGGATGCTTCGAAATACGTGGGTGTCTAGCGGCAGGTGAAATGCTAACGAGGTTGTATCCATCCTGCTTGCCTTGAGCCTGAATAGATAAGGCGGGTTAGAAATGTTTTAAATGTTAAAAAATGGCCTCTAATTCCCGAAAGTTCAGGGTAGAGGTTTTTTTTAATGTGTTGGTCTTTCAGGGGCTACAAGCCTGCTAGTTTTATGCATGCAGAAGACTAACACGGCCACTGTTCTGGAATTGAAAACGTTTTGTGTGATTTCTCGGAGTTGCTTTCTCTTAGGACTTTCTTCAGGGTCTTGAGGTTTAGTCACAATAAAAGCATAGATGCATCTCCCCCCCCCCCCAAGTGTGTATGTAAGTAAAGCATGTGAGCATTAAGGCATCACAGTACAAATGTGTAGTATGCCATCGATCCTATTGTGCGTGGCTTACAACCTCCTTCCCTTCCTCTCCCCACAACAGACAACCTGTGAGGTGGGTGGGGCTGAGAGAGTCTGAGAGAACCGTGACTGACCGAAGGTCACCCAGCTGGCTGGATGTGGGGGAGTGGTGAATCGAACCTGGTTCTCAAGATTAGACTCCACTGCTCTTATCACTGCACCAAACTGGCTCTCAACCAAAGACCAACCAAAATTGTTACAAAGTTACAAAATTGCAATAATCTGTTTTGCTAGAATTTCTTTCTCTAAAAGGAGAGAAGGAAAAAATGGCCCATCTTCTAGATGAGTGGAAGCCAGGTGACAGCAGAGGAAACAAATTTAGCTTTCAACATTGTGGACTTGAGGAGGGAGAGCTTAGCTAGTGGTCCTCCTAGATATGAAAATGGGTGGTGCTGCTTAAAAAGCATGTCCCTAATTTTGTCTACAACGTTTGTTTATTTAGAAATTGTGTATGCCACCTCTCCAGAAGTTATGGTTTTTGGAAAGGATGTGCGGATGGTAGTTGAGCTCAGTCCTTTTTTTCTTTTCTTTCTTGCTAAATCCTTTTTGATATGTGTTAAAACTTATAAAGTAATATATACTTAGAGCTTGTTAGCTACTAAGACAGTTAACAGTTACAGACAACTTTGCTATTCAGACATAAATTTGTTGATTGCATTTTATGAACTGTTAGCCTTCCAGAAACACAGATAGCTCCCTCTCTGAACTGTAACTTATTAATTATCCTGAATGTGCAGTCCTGCTGAGGAACATAAGTGCTACCTTCTTGGATCAGATCAAAGTCCATCCTAGTCCAGCAACCACTACTGCTAAATGATCCACCAGATACTGCCAGCATCTTACCCATGAAGTCAAGGTTGAAATTCGGTTCCTGGATCCCAATTACTTATTCGCAGTTCCTGGTTACTCACTTATGCTGTTTTCCAATCCAAAGCGTGGTTTGAGCTCTATCTGATTCATAAATAAGGAACTGGGGACCAACTTCAGCCTGCTTCCATGAAGCGTGATCTGCTGTCTTCCCATTACTAAATTAAAAGGATATTACTTCTAATGTATTCAGTACACTTCATAAACACAGTTTTGTGTACTGTAAAAATGTTATATCCCATACTCTTAGTTTTGTGAACTGCCTCGTGAGTTCTTAAAAATATAAGAACAAAATCCTGCTATTGTTATCTAACATGCTGGTGGCAGCAGTTCCCAACTCTTCCACTGCTGCTTAGTGAAAGGGGCCTTGTTTGCTCTCCTTCCCCTTTTGCAGGATGATTGGCCCTTGATGGATTACGAGAGGGAAGATACCAGGTGATAGTTGTTTAGGCAGGTATATAGGAAAAGCTTTGTTCTGTCTTCCTTTTGCAGGCTTTTGTGTTTGTGGAAAGAATGGTTGAGGATGGGCATGTTAGTCTTGCTTATTTTTCATACTTGGAAATGTATTACAGTTTAAGTGAGTATTTATTTGTTCACAATATTTATACCGTGCCTTTTTTGCCAATGGGGACCCAAAGCAGCTTCCATTGTTCTCCTCTCCTCCATTTTATCCTCACAGTAAACCTGTTGCCCTGACTTGCCCAAGGTGACCCAGTGAGCTTCCATGGCAGAGTAGGGATTCAAATGTGGACCTCCCAGATTCTAACCACTGCACTGCCTCTGTGTGGATGTGTGTAGACACATAACTAGTAAACACCAGCAAATGAATGCACAATATGTGCTAAAAGGATACCTAGCATAGGTCCAACGTTGCATTCTCTGCAATAATCCTAGCAGGCTCCAGATGGCCTGCCGGCAGTTGGTCAGTGGTTCACCAGTCTCCTGCGATCCATCTTCTTCCTTCCCCTCCCGATTTATTTTAGGCAATTCACAAAGTTGTTATTTTTACTTGTGAAAACATCCTTTCAGTATCACAACGATGGAGAACAATCAACATTGCAGTTAAAACGTAATCAACAATCAGGTACAGCCAGCTAATTCATCAGTAAAAGGGTCAACGTGTGCAGGTCAGTGAAAGCTGATTCTTTTTTAAATGCTAAGCATTTGTAAAATACTTGAGGCTGCCACATTAACTGGGCTCCTTTCAGAAAGTGTTCTTCCCCCACTGTGTTAACTGAATTTTTTTCTTCGCTTCTGCTTGAAGTGCTGCTCTGTATGCTGAAGGGCTTGTCCTGTAGCTGGTAGCCAGCAGTGCAGTTTATTTGGTCTAAACTCCTGTGCCGTTACTGATATGTACAGGTTAAATAAAGTTTTTCCAGAAGCATTCTGGTTTCTGTGCAGCGTGTAATTCCTTGAAGTTAAAGGCCAGCTTCAGGCTAAAACAACAAAGTTTCAGGGCACCTTAAAAGTCTAAAACATTTATTGTGGCACAGGCTTTTATAAACCAGAGCCCGTTTTGCCAGATAACTCACGAAAGCATCTGCTGCTATACCTTTTGTTAGCTGTTGAGGTGTTCAAGATGAAACGAGGTAACTGAAAAACATGTCAGTGCTGGTCTCACATGCATTGGTCATCCCTTGGCACTGGCAGTCATCAGGTGATGAGTTTGGATGTGTGGACTAGTCCACGATCTTGTATCCTTCATTCTGCTTGCCCACTGATCACTTCTTCCTGTGCCAACAGAGCTTGCCCGCAATGCAGCCTCGTCTGGTAGCTGTCAGTAAAACGAAACCTGCCGAAATGGTGATAGAGGCCTACAAACATGGACAGCGCAGTTTTGGAGAAAACTATGTGAGTACGGCTAGCCTTTCCCATGGAAAAGAAAAGGTGTTTCAGCTCATCCTCCCCCATTTTAGCCTTGGTTCTTCCCACTGCTGAGTGAGGGCCACACCACTGCTCAATTCTTCTGTCTTGTGTGTCTCTTCCCCGAGTTCTTCTTGCATCTCTGTGACCACTGCTCCATTTTCATGAAGTTTCCAGGCTTCCTCCCAATCCAGGGGCTGACAGCTGGCATTTCAGAGAACAGCCCACTTTTTGCTGAATATATTCTGGGACACATCTTATTCTTCTTTTTGAATTGGCTTCTGCCTGCCTTGAGAGTCAGTGCTTTGGATCTGGGGGTGGCAGGGTGTTGACTGTAACCCACAGGACTCTGATGTTCTTCAACATGGAATGGGATGACTCCAAATAAGTTGCTTGATGCCCCTTATTTTCCAGGCACCTGGCACATGTTTGACTTTCTTTTTGATAAAGAGGTCTCTTCCATTACTATGTGGCAACGAGTGCCGTTTGATTTCATGGTAACAGTGAAGGTTCTGACCACAGCGGTTATGATTCTGGAGATGGCCTGCACTCCTGTGCATATGAGAACTCTCCTTTACATTGCATGACCTTTGGAGTTCGTCCCCTCAGTCTAATATTACACCCGTATGGTTGGTTGACTTGAGTTGTATGGTATGATGAAATGTAGTTGTAACCTAGAAACTGATTTTTGGAGGGGGAATCGTAGTGCGTACCATGTTATATTTGGGGATGTATGTACAAATACAGGAGTAAGCTACTTCTTGGTCAAAGTGACTTTCAGTGTTGTTGGCACAGAGGCAGGCAATGGCAAACCATCTCTGAAACGTGCCTTGCCTTAAAAACAAGTCTAGCTCACCACTTAGTGGTGCATAATGCTAAAAGAGCTAGAGCTTTTGACTGCCAGGCAATCTTAGAATCTCCTGGCTATACTAAACACACTGCCATATGATGATGATGATAATAATAATAGTGTCGTTGGCAGTTCAATCCATGTCTGCATGCACAAAGACACTGTGTGTTAGCACTGTTGATGAAAAGGTTATGGGTAAGAGGAGGCTGCCTGTCTTGGATTGTGTTGGAGAAGTTTCTCATAAGCCTTGCTTGCCTTATGTTGCCTGGCATCCTTGAAATTCACTCTCCAGCTCAGTATATGTGCTGATTAGAACTCATGGGATTCCACACAGAGGCGAGAGCTTCCAAATCTTAATCTGAAGATCTCTTTTCTCTAGGTTCAAGAATTGCTAGAAAAGGCATCAGACTCCAAAGTAAGTATATTGCATTTTTAAATCCTTTTTGCCTGCATAAATCTGTAGGTGCAGGAAAAAATGTCCAGTATGCTTCCTTTGCGTACTTTAAGTTAACTGCACTAGAAAACCAGCTATCTCTTTGAATGCAGCCATTGAGATTAGATCCTGGATGTTGAAAAGACTTTTGTTAATCTAACATGCCCAGTTCCTATATTTTGTTTTCATGGATGTATTACCAAAAGGTCTGTTGACCAATTAATAACACTGAAGCTTAACTGCATGTGTGTCAGCAAGCCCTTACCTTTTCATGTGTAAGTGAGAGATCATCTTGCTGTCTGTCGAATAATCAGAAAAGGCCAGGCAACAGTTATTTAATATATTCTGCCATTCCCCAGAGATCCCAAGGCAGCGTACCAAGATATACCAACAGTTTACACTGTGTGTGTAATACTCCTTGAGTCTCAGTGAGAAAGGCAGGTGATAAATAAATAAAATAAAAATAAACTAGCAACAGAAATACAATTAAAATACTAGGTAAACCCACCAGGTTTAAAAAGCAATCCTTTCATTGCTCCAAACAATGGCAAAATGCCCTCTCAAAAAAGATGGATAGAAGGGAATGCAGTATCTCCCCCCAATATCTTCTCACTCCAGCCTCCTGACCTAGGGCCATGTTCCTCTATGCAGATCCTGTGACCCTGGGAATGATCTTTGTGGGAGTTGGAGGGGGCTGCTGGAATGGAGAAGAATGAGGGTGAAATTCCACGTATGGATGGTGGGACATGGGCCAATGTGTCAAAGCCACAATAGTTAAATAAAACTTCCATGTTCACAGACTGCATACTGTTGAACACCAGTTGTTGCAGGCAAACATGCAGAGAATTGTTGCCTTTGTGCTCTACTTACAGCCTTCCTGGAAGCATGTGGCTGGGCACGGCTGGGCACAGGATGCTGGTCTAGATGGACCTTTGGACTAGCTGGAACAGCAGCCCATGTTGTATTAGACATAACTAGATCAGAGATTCAGTCATGAAATACTGATTAATTCTCTGGCCTTGGTGGGGAAAATTCCAGGTTTTGGATCATCCATGTGGTTAAAGACGGGATGCTGATGCCTAGAAATGCACAACTTTCCATCTCTATCCATTGCTGGCCTTTTAACAGAACTGATTCTAGCTCCAAAATACTTGATCGAGGGTGGGGCTAGAATTTTGATAGTTTTATAGTCCTAGGTAGGGTTGAGTCACAAAATCTGTCCCAGCAGAGATCATTAACAACAGTATTGAGCTAACTACTTTCAGAATTGGTCATGCCTCTGAGGTTTCCAGTGAGGGTTCTGTATCTCATTCTGTATCCCCCTGTGAAAAGCGTTGTTCGGTCCAAATGTGTTTGTGCAGGAGCACACTTCAAAACTGGCTCACCTTGTCTCTCCTTTCTTTAGATCTTGTCATCCTGTCCAGAGATTAAATGGCATTTCATAGGCCACCTTCAGAAAAACAATGTCAGCAAGCTGATTGGTAATCTTAATTTCTTTCTGTAGTGATTGGAAAGGCAGTATACAGATTGTGATTGGGGGGGGGGGGAAGGGGACTTCTGTAACAGGCTTCCTGGGGCACACCAGCAGTACCGACTCTGACTCACCCAGATTAGTGCTAATTTTGGAATGCAGTTGAATTGCACAATGCATGATGTTAGCAGAGCTGTATAGCGTTGGACTCTTGCGACGTTTCTCATAGGAGGTCTTGGCAATGTGTTCTGTTCATGCTTAATGTCTGGCCAACTGAAGTCTTTTTGAGATCAGAAGAAAATGTTCCCGTGAGGTTTGACGGAATAGTAACCCCGTGTTGTTGTTTTCATGTTTGACATGCTTCCCTGAGCCATCTGGAAACCATACCACTGCAGGCACCTTTCTCAGATGCCTTCTGGCCTGGGCACGCTGATTGTTAAGCCAGTGATTCTTAACCTTTTATCCACTACCACCCACCAAGTACCCAGCATTGTCATCAAACGCCTCCCAAAGCCACAAATGGAAAAATTAGGACATAAAAGCAGCTCTCCAGACAAGGCAACTTTATTTATAGGTATATTTATGAGATATGCATATGGTATGCAGATTTCAGGTGTGCATTCAATGAGACTTTTGTGCCTGATGGCCATCAGCCAGCACCTTAATGTTCAATTTGATTCCTATTTGCCATGTGCTACTTTAAAAGGGGGGGGCCTAGGGGAGAAATCTGGGATTTTATCCTCAGGGAGGGGCAAGGAGCATGAAAATGTTCTTTCACTGGCTGTAGAAACCACTGGGAGTGGAAGAGCCTAAAAGCCGACATGGCTCCCATTTGCGCCCCACCCCCCCCAATGTTCTGAGCGTCCCCTTAGATTTGTAGAACAAAATTCGACTCCAGGAGCAACTTAAAGACCAACACGATTTCCACGGTATGAACTTTCTACAGTCAAAGCATCTGCTGAAGGGAACTTTGACTCTCAAAAGCTTATACCCTGGGAAATTGTGCGGGTATTTTAGGTGCTACTGGAGTCAAATTTTGTTCTAATGCTACAGAGTTGGCACAGCTGCCCATTTGAAACTGTTCTCTAGGTTTGTAAATCATGCCTGGGGAACTGTATGGCCCTCAATAAGAATCAGAGGCTAATAGAATACAAACAGGCTGTGGCAGTTGTGCAGACCTGTTGTTTAAATGGGGCAAAATACCAAGACCCGAATATGATCGTGGTGCAGCCCGTCAAACTATTTTCGGTCTGCCACAGGAATGTGAGCCTCATGTTTTCCGGGGAGATGTGACGGAGCTCTTTGAACTCTCCCCAGCTGCAGTTGAATGGGCTGAAAATTTAGATATTATTATTTAGGGCGATTGCCCAATTGGTCTGCATATTCACTGTATCAACTTGGCTAGGTATTTTATATTATTATATGCTTCCTTTGTGTAACGCTGCCATACAATAAATAAATAATAGAATCACTGGTTTAGTCTAGTGAGAGAGCGACCCTGCATTGAAACAAGGGTGGCCTACTTGCTGCTTTCTAGTGTCATGTATGTGGTTTAAATCTTAGTCACTAGTTAGCATCTTGCACTACCCTATGGTAGGAGCACGGACTTTAATATGGGAGAACCAGTTTGATTCCCTACTCCTCCATATGCAGCTGCTGGTGTGACCTTGGGTCAGTCATAAGCTCTTTCAGAGCTGTTTTCTCAAGGACAGTTCTCAAGAGAGCTCTCTCAGCCCCACCTACCTCACAGGGTGTCTGCTGCAGGGAGGGGAAGCGAAAGAGATTGTAAGCCACTCTGAGACTCCAAGTGAAGGGCAGGGTATAAATCCAGTCTCTTCTTCTTCTCCATCTTGTTGGGAGAGAGAATGGGGTTCAGAGCATCATGTGCCTGAAGCAGAGAGCATAGCTGGGCTTGATAGCATAGACCCCGTTTCTATCTTAATGAGTTAGCGAACAGGACATTCACGCTGCTTCAGTTGTCTCATGCCTTTGTCTTGGTAGACCTAAAGTTCTCCCTTCCTGTGTGTGGTTGATCTCCTGCAAGGTTCCTTGGGGTCCGGAGGATCTGCAGTTGGAATCATCTGACTTTTCCTCCTTAAAGCTAATGGCAGCTGTGGGAGTGGTGCAGCATGGGGGCAGGGGGGTGTGCGCACGTGCGCGTGTGTGGGGAATCACCAAATTAAAATTTTCACCCATCTGTCCGTTTTTCCTATATGGCTGCTGCTAGCTTCACGGATTTTCAGCTCATGGGTCTGCATTGTCACATGTAGTTTGACCTTTAAACACTGCAGACACCAACGGTTTTGCTGCACCACGCTTTATTTGCTGTAGCCAAAGGCTATTGCATAACAAGCTGAGATCGTAAGAACTTCACATACAGACAAGTTGAACATATTAATAGAACAGAGAATTCGTGTACATATATCCATACTAGTCAGAGCATAACTTACATTAAAAGAAAATAGCAGATTTAGATCTGTTTCCCCAGCTAATTTTCTTAGATGGTTTTGGGTGCAATTTTAAATAATGCAGCCCCATAAGATACAGTTTTTTCTTTATCAGACAGTAGATAAACAACTGTATCCTTTGACAACCAACCAACACACTGAGAAAGGTAAAAAGACAAAAAAAAAATTCCTCCTGGGCAATCATGCAATGGACAAATAGTGTTCTTCCTGTTGTGCTTTGTGTTCTGCAAAGCACTTCCTGCAAGAACACGTGGGCAAGCCGTACCCAACCCATGCTGCGTGGGCAAGAGTGGTAAGAAAAAAAATCCCCCTTTCCCCAAGAGGGAATGGACATTCCTTTTGTCACGCTCCTAGGATAAGCTCTTGTCCAAAGTGTGTGCTTCTTTCTGGGGTGGCCAACGTTGCTATGACGTGTCTTCCATTTGTCTAGCTGTACCCAACCTATTTATGCTGGAAACGGTGGATTCTGTGAAACTGGCAGACAGACTGAACAGTTCTTGGCAGAAGAAAGGTTCTTCGGAGAGGCTGAAGATCATGGTGCAAGTGAACACCAGCGGGGAGGACAGTAAGTAGCTTGGATGCTGTTCACCTGCCTCTTAACTGTGTTCAAAGTGCCCAAGAACACACGGACCAAATTATCACGCTTATTTTAAAGGGCTGCTGTCATTTAGATCCAAGGCTCTGTTTGTCTTTGATGCATGAATGAGGAATAATGTCAGGCGTAGATGTAATCTCTTGATCTTGCTTTGTCAGAAGGCAAGATCCTACTAGTGGAGGCCTTTGTCACACTCCTCCCTGCCCTGTATCATTTTCCGTATTGGAGAGCATTGTTTATCACAAAGGCCGGCACATCGAATTATGCCAAATGATGCTAGTTTGCAAGCATTGAACTGGCAGAGCTGTTAAGGCTGAACAATTCAGCAATTTTGCCTCAAATCTAAAATGCGGGGGTATTCAAACAACTATAGATATTTGTCTCTCCTCCATGCATAATTAGTCCATGGAATCAGTCGCTGCAAGATACAGCCATGGATGCTGGCTTATGTGGCTTTAAAAGGGAATGAGACAAATTCACGAAGGATGGGTCTATCGATGGCTATTAACTGAGGTGGCTAAAGGAAGTGTCTGTGTTCTGAAAGAGCGTGTATCTTTGAGTACCAGTTTGCTTTGTGCCTCTGCTTGTGGGTTTCCTGAAGGCATCTGGCCAGTGATGGAAACTGGATGCTGGACTAGATTAGCCTTTGGGTTTGATTCAGCAGATGTTGTCATACTGTGGGGGGAGCAAGGTGTACTTTCCAGTTAGAGTCCAGATTTCAGAATCATGGGCTGCAAATTCTCAGGAAGGTTCACCAAGAAGGGAAAACCAGCACACCTCTAATTTACCTTCTGTTTTGCTTCTTGTAGAGCTTTTTAGCTTGAAGGCATTTTGAGGTGGGGTTAATATGCAAGGGAAGTAGGGCCTGCCCATCTCTTGGGTAAAGAGTGCCCATCTGTCTCCACTATGTGATGCTAACCTTCTCTTTCCAGGTAAGCACGGCCTGCCACCTGGTGAAACAGCAGCGACTGTGGCACATATCACCCAGAAGTGTCCAAGCCTGGAATTTGTGGGCTTGATGACAATTGGCAGTTTCGGGCATGACCTCAGTCAGGGACCCAATCCTGACTTCCAGGTATGTCTGATCTTGAAAGATTCCACAAGCTTGAGCTCTAAGGAACTGGAGGACAAAATTTAGTTGCATTCTCTCTCTCTCTCTCTCTGTCTCTCCCTCCAGTTGTTGATCTCCTTGCGTCAGGAGGTGTGTGAAAAGCTCCATATCCCGATTGAGAAGGTTGAGCTGAGCATGGGGATGTCGTTAGACTTTCAGCATGCAGTAAGTCTGGCTTCTTTCTTGCTTAGGGACCCCTTTCAGAAGAGGGGCTGTGGCTCAGTGGTGGAGCATACTGCTTGCAGGCCAACACAATCCCTGGAATTGCCAGGGAAAGTCTTTAGGAAGAAGACCTCTCTCTTCTGAAACCCCAGAGAGTCCCTGGAGGTCAGCACAGGCCCATCCATGCAACCAAGGCCATGCCTCGAGAACAGACAGCCTGCTGTCCAGTCCTAGCATATAAATGGGATCAAGACAGAGAACTGAATTCTTCTTTTGGCGAATGTTTCAGGTGTCCCCGGCACTAGTTCTTTAGCGGCTGGAGTGGAATCCACAAACAGGTTGTCCCCTGAACTAAGATGGGTACCAGTAGGAAAAAGACTGCCACGTGCAAAAAATCCCACTTCTCATGTACAATGAAGGCCGTTATGGGGGTGGAGGCACGTTCTTGTTGTGAAAAGGCAAAGTATCACTGGTCTCAAGTGTGACCTTGATTCTGTGCCTGAAATTCTAGAGGTGCTGATAATGTGGAGGACGTGGTTGTCGTAGAGGGCTGCATGTGATAAACTGCTGGCTTGATTAGCATTAGAATTTCTACAGGCTTGGGGTCTGCAAGGAATGGGGGGGGTGTTAGACTACCTGCAAAATCTTCCCCGTCAGGATTCTCCAGCATGCTCAGCCCCCTGAGAGATTAATTCCCCACCCCTCTTTTTCCCCTTTAATTGATAGCTTGAGTTCTCTTAACGTTCCATTCCTTCCGGAGCCTTTCTACTGTTAATCAGTTCCCTTTTCCCAGGTTTCTGTCTGTTTAACTTAACTGTGATCTTTTCCAGTAAAAGGCAGCCCCCTCCCTATGAGGCCGGGCTCCCCGCCTTATCTGTAGTTAGCTCCATTGTGAAGCTTCTGCCACCTGCACAGGGGCCAGCCCGTTTACTGTTCGGTATGGAGCAGGGGTGGCCAAACTTGCTTAATGTAACGTAACAGCCACACAGAATAAATGTCAGGTGTTTGAGTGCCGCAAGACATGAACAAATATTACACATTTTAATTGGGAAAATATGCACATTTTCTTTTTATTAATATTAAATTAGACTGTGTGGAAGAGCCGCGTGCGGCTCCCGAGCTGCAGTTTGGCCACCCCTGGTATGCCCTGACCCGGATGGCCCAGGCTGCCCTTGGTCTTGCCAGATTTCAGTAGCTAAGCAGGGTCAGCCCTGGTTAGTACTTGGATGGGAGACGGCCAAGGAAGTCCAGGCTTGCTCCTCTGGCCTTGAGAGCCCTGTAGGGTTGCCATACGTCGGCTGTGACCTGAGGGCAAAGAAAAAAGATCGTCATATCGTGGGGGATCGCAGTTCCCCTGGGTGAGGTGCAGGGGGGCGGGGCACATGACGAAGCCCCGCCCCCTGCTTCCGGCCATCCCGCTTCCAGCCCTCATACAGCCAGGAGGAGGCAGGAGAAGAGGGAGGGTAAGTTGCTTCCTCCCCGCCTCTCCCCACCCCTGCCTGCCTGGGGCCAGGGAGGGCCTTGGCGGGGCTTCCTCGCACTCCCGCTGGCCTTGCAGGTCCACCGCCGGGCCCCTGATGTCAGGGGGTGTGGCATATGCTAATGAGTTATGCTAATGAGTTCCCCTAGCTCTTTTTCTATGAAATGACCCCTGATCATCACCTTTCAAGACTTCCCTGTGCAGGAAGCTGCCGCTGTTCCATTTTACATACAGGAGAGCTAAGGTCTTGGGGACGAAAGCCTCAGCTTATCAGCCAGTTGGAGCAACTGGTCCCATGGACCATGCCAGTTACACACGACTGAAATCGTGGTGTTGTCCGGGAACAGCGAGCCAGGGCCGTCTGGCAACACGGTCATCCTATCTTTCCCCCTGCTTTTACCTCTGTGCAGATTGAAGTTGGATCCACCAATGTTAGAATCGGAAGCACAATCTTCGGTGAACGCGATTACTCCAACAAGCCTTCCAGTGACAAGGCCCTCGGAGAAATTAAAGGAAAACTGGAGAACTTGACAGTGCAGGAGCACTAATGTGAGAAGGCCAAGGCAATTCCCTCCCCCAGCGGCGGGAATACGCTCACATAGACCTTACTATGCACTTGAATTTCTCCCTTTGTGCTGACCAATGTGGGGCGCTATCAGGTAATCGGGAGGTGTCACAAGCGCCTCAGTTACCTGTAACTTTGTTATTGTGTATCCATAGAAATTGGATTTTTTTAACCAGCAAATGAACACCTGTGATTGACAAGTGACTTTTGGTACCTTAGCTACAGTGACTTTAGATAGCTCTACTGGATAACCAGCTGACTTAAGCCCTACTAGGTCTGGGCATAAAACCATTTCCAGCCGTGACCATCCTACATTTCTGATTGGAGAAGTGGGTTTTCTCCTTTCCTGGAGGCTGAAGTCCCTCCCTTGCAGGGATGCCTCTGACATGCTTTGTCACATTTCCCCACAGAATGCTGCATGTAGACCGAGGTGTTCTTGCGGCAGCCTCTCCTAAACCCTTAATGACACTAAAGTAGCCACTCAGTGCGGATGGGCCACTGAGGAGAGATGGGGAAAGATCCACTTGCACATGTAAGCGATCAGAAGTCTTTATTATTATTTTTATTATTATTATGCCACAGAGTTGAAAAGCGTGAAGCGTTTTGAGGGTTGAAATTGTCCTCCAAAGACTGGCGTCGCCAGCTCCAATCACGTAGCTACATATCACGTTCTTTTCTCCTGTTATAAAACGGTTCCCTCCCCCACCCTCCTGGGTGCCCCTAGTTCTGCTAGGTAGCGGTACGTTTCCACTAGCCAAAGCAGGGAATCCCTGGCTCTGCTCCTGACTTGCTGTGAGATCTTGGCCAAGTCATTTAACCATTCTGTGCCTGCGTCCCCTATCTGAGAAACGGGGCTCACCTACCTCACGTGGGAGACCGCGAGGCTGCCGTGTCTGGAAAGTTTGTTTGAAATGCCTCCCCCAGGCCCACTCCCCCCACACACCCAGGAGGGAAGGCACCTGCTGTGGTGTAAAAACAGGCTTGTGCATCAATCCAAAAGCAAAACCTAGCAGCCCACAATTTCATTTTATTTACTTATCTGGACACACTTGTCTGCATGTACGTACGTGTCTGTGTCGCAAGACGCCTCGCATGGCGGGTTTGCAAGCGGCTCATGTGCAAGGAACGACAGGTTAATGCAAAGCATCGATAGCCCAGATGTTGGGCCCACTTGGTAGGAAGGACAATGAGTTGGATGGCCACTGTACATACTGCTCCGAGATCTTAAGGAAATTAATTTGAAGCAGCTGTGCCTATTGCTTCACTAAGACTTCATCCAAGCATTCATCTCCGTCTTTGCAGCACCCCACTCAGTGAAAATGTTTACAGTGGAATCTGTTTTGTAACTCACCTGTTGACAATCTATTCTGAGGCCCAGCCTGCTGCTAAAACGACTGTAGTCCTTGGTAGAAATACCTTTCTGTCCTCTTCCCTGTAGCCAAAAGCTTCGTGCCTGGTGTGTCTTTTTTGGTTTAATCTAGCTGTGGGGCTTGTGTTAACTTCCTGGATGTAACTGAATGTAACTGCAAATGATGAACGTCCAGTCCAGTTGGGTCCCCACTACATAGGTGCAATGCTGACTGCAGTCTGAACTGTCCTGGAGTTCCACAGTACAGTATTTTCATTGTGTTAAGACTAAATCCAGTTGTGGATCGGAATACTGTACCATCTGTGCCAGTTGCAAAGCTATTAAAGATGTTATTTTTATGTTTCCTGCATCGTGAATGATTGGCAAATGCTGCCAGTTTGCACTCAGCTTCAAGTAGCAGTTGTTCTGTCTATCAGTCCTTTTTATCTTGCCTTTCCTGCAAGGAGCTAGGGGCAGTGTACATGGCTCTCCTCTGTTATCTTTACGACAACCTTGTAAGGTAGGCTGAGAGATATTGGCCCAAGGGCATCCAGCAGGTTGCATGACAGAGTAAAAGCTTGAACCTGGTCCTCAAGTCCCAGGCCGCTACTCTGATCACTACACCACACTGCCTTTCCTGTTCTGGTGGGTTTGCTTCTGTGCAGCTCCTGGAATACCTGTCTCTAGCTGAGCAATTTCAAGATTTGCTTCTTGCGGTAGTGTTGTATTGGGAAGCAAATCTTGCAACAGGGTGGTTTTCCTGGCCAGCATTTCACAAGTGTTCCTATTGGGGTGGATCTAAGGGGCCTTCCTTCAATTTACGGCTTGTCCTGCAATGGAAGACCTTCTTAATTTTGAGGAAAACTCCAAACTCGAGTCAAATGGAAAGGCAGAGCATAAATATTTTAATAAATTTTACTCTATGAAGTGGTAGGATTCAGCCCAGTAATATGCAATTGTTTATGAAAATGCATCATGATAACACAGCCCTTCCTCCCTTAGCTCACAAGGTTCATTAAACGGAGAAGACTGAGACCTGGGGAATGAGTAGAGGGCCTGGGACAATGAGATGAAGGGGGCCAGGGAGGATTCAGCTAATGCTCTGGAACTAAATTAGGGCTAGGTAAACATCCCCTATTTCGTTTCTTTTCTGTAGGTTTATCTTTTTGACAGGTTTGATTCTGTTTTGTGGATTGATTGCTCATGTGTACTCATCTCTAGTATTTCTGTGGTACAGTGTACGTCATTATTATATATAAGGCCCAACTGCATAATGCTGATCTGGCAATGCACAATTAACACTGAAAACCATGTTCACATAGTGCAAGAAATTCAGTCACACAAAACAGGACGTAGTACGGACTCCGCTACTGTAGCTGACGGAGGGAGTGTTGACTCTTGAAAGCTGAGACACCCCCCTGAAACGCTTGTTTGTCTCTAAGGTGCTCCTGGACTCAAATCTGACTGATCATCATGGGTTTGGTTTGAACAATGGAGAAATGGAGTTGAGATTAACTTTAGTAGAGTGAAACAGAGCAAATGAGAAATTTGCGATCCTCCCTAAAACCTCTCATTTTGGCTCTTCCAAGTGTACAATAAACATCCAACCGTGACTTAGCATTGTTCGGCTGTGGAAGAGGAGGAGGAAGTGGCCTGATATATATTTGAGGGCAGACGGACAACAGAGGTGGAGGGCATCAGCTATGAGTAAGAAGATGATAGAGATCTGTTGTCGGATGAGCTTATGTGGAGCAGAGAGAGCGAAGAGTCGCAAGGAGAACTAGTAGGGTTTGGCGGTGGTGGGCGCATTGTGGAGAAAGCCAACTTGAAGCTGGAGTTTCAAAGGAAGTGGAGCCATACTTAAATTGGGCACTAGATGGTGCTGTTGCCTACCTTTCTGGAGGATGAGAAATCCCAACTCTGGGGCTTGTCTTAGCAAGAGATGGGCCTGAATATTGCTGAGTCCGATAGCCAGGGGCTGGCACCTGTAGGAATAATCGAATTGGTGCAATGGGGCTAGCCCCGACGATCATTTAGGGTTTAGTTTTGTGGGGAAACTGGACCAATAAACCCCTGTTTTTGCCCATGTGGTAGGGAGGCAGTTCTGCCGTTTCTCTGAGTCTCTGGCCTGGCCCAGCTTCTTTCCCCTCTCCCAGCTTCAACCTTTTCCCTTTCTCGGTACTGCCACCACCAGCCAGTCCAGTCAATTAAAAGGGCACAAACTGCCTGGAGGCTGGCACCCAGGCACCCTCTGCAGCTCAGCCCTTTGCATCTCTCTGTCATCAAGGGGACCCAGCGCTCTCCCTTGCACTTTCTAGCGGGGTAAGGGTCAACTGCTGCCCCCTCCCCTCCCGGGTATGTGTGACTGCACGGAGCTTCATATAGATCACCGAAATCAGACTGATCACATGCAACAGGAAAAGACGCGACTCTCCTTTCTAGTAGAAGCCCTTTACAACTTCTGAGCCCATATGGGGTGCAGACTGAGTGATAAGAAACTTTGCCCACCAATACTGGAACGGAAGGCATTTTACCATAGTTTAAAAAAACACACACACTTAAGTTGGGGTTAAAACCCACCCATCGACATCTGAGAATATCACTAAAGCTGAACTGTGGAGGGCATTTTGGGTTGCCACAGCAACCCAAAACGGTGCATGCAAATGTGTTGGCCAACAGTGGAAGGCGATAATGGCAAATGTAGAGAGGGCAGCAAGAGGATCATGGGATTGCCCTCCCCTCAGTCCCCCCCCCTTTTAACTGTAAGCATTTCCTGTATAAAGGAGACTGGATCAGAACACAGAATAACACTTCAGGCTTCACAGGCACGTCAGTGAAGATGATGCAGCCTTTATGTTTCTAACTTTACTCATTTAATTCATTTATACCTTGCTTTTCTCCCCAATGGAAACCCAGAGGAGCTTCCATCACTCTCCTCCATTTTATCTTTACAACAACCCTTTGAGGTAGGTTAGGCTGAGAGAATGTGGCTGGCCCAAGGTCACCCTGCGAGCTTCAGCACTCTGTTGTAGACAGTGTTTTTTAATCTCTGTTTTCAGTGTAATTTGGGCCCTAAAGACATCGATAACAATGTGTGCCTGATGAGTAAGATGTACTTCACTCTCTCAAGTGCTAATGAGATGGAGTGGTTAGCAAGTTGAGCTGGAACAGGGGAGACCCGGGTTCAAGTTTTCACTCAGCCATAACTCGCACTGCACGGCTTTAAGCCAGTCCTTGTGCCTAACCTACTTCCCGAGGTGGATATGAAGGTAAAATGTGGGCAAGCTGAGAACTGTTTGTCCTATTGTTCTACTTGTCCAGGCCAGACTACACCAGACTTTGGAGTCCTGTGATTAAGAGGCCAAATTCATTACTTAGCACTAAATAGCAGTAGTGGAGGACGGGTCCGCCAGGGCTATTTTTGGGCAGGAACGCACAGGAACGGAGTTCCAGCTGGCTCCCAAGTTGGCCACGCCCAGCAGGAACTCATTAGCATAATAGGCCACACCCAACAGCAGAGACTCATTAGGATTAGCTACGTTAGGGGTGTGTGGCCTAACATGCAAAGGAGTTCCTGCTACAAAAAAGCCCTGGGTTTTGACAACAAACAAGGTAAACAGAATAAGAAGCAAAAGATGGGTGTGGCTGGATAACCACACTTCTGGTAACATGGGTTGCGGGTGGCCTAATGTGCTAATTAGCTGTGCTATTAGGGGTGTGGCCTAATATGCTAGTGAGTGTCTGCTGTTGGATGTGGCCTATTATGCTAATGAGTTCCTGCTGGGCTTTTTCTACAAAAAGAGCCCTGGCCCCGGTCCTCTATAGATTGGGGCCACAGTTCTGGAGAAGGGTTTTTTTATATACTGGTTTAGATGCTTTGCAAACCACCTTGGAGCCTGAAGGGGTGGAAAGGTTCAAATTCCCAGGCCAACACTTAGGTCTTCGAGGTGGTTTTCAAGCCATCAGGGAACAAATGAAACGGCACACAGCCTTTAAAAAGAACAGTAAGTTGTCAGCAGCTAAGAACAGCTCAGTAGAAAATGATGTTCAAAGGTTATGGGGAATGGAATGGGTTTGGCTTCGTGCCTGAAAAGGCAACAAGTTCCCTCAAATAAGCTTAGGGAGGGAGTCCACAGAAGCCGTGTGCCATCACCAAGGAGGACTTGTTTTTGTGAGGAGGGGAGTACCTGGGAAGACCCTCAGATGAACATCTCAGCTGCTGGGCTGTAGCAAACAGACTTCATCAGGATCGAGAGGCCAGCTGCAGGTAGGTTATGCTGTACTAATGGAGGAATGCAGATGTTCTCCTTGTCTAATGCTGTAGCATCTCTATTCACGGACTTCAGCAAGGAAGACTAAAGGTTAGATAAACATCAGTGCTAAATATGCAGCCTCCTATGCAAAAGGCACCTCTGTAAGCCATGTAGTTCCCTCACCTTCCCTCACCCCAGAGCAGGAAATCTGCCTGTCCAAACACAGTCTTCCCTTCACTTTCCCCCTTGGTCTCGTTGTTTCTGCTGTACACACAACTGTTGTCTGAGGCTGCAGACAGATTCATGCTTAACCTCAGGGGTCATTTCCTGCAGGAGCACACAAGAGCGGAGCTCCGGCAGTAAAGAGCCCAGTAAAGAGCACATGCAACAAGCCCCACCCCCTACTCCCAGCAGCCCTCAGTCAGAGCAAGAAGCAGCCAGGTAAGTTGGAAACACCCGGCCCCCTGGTCCAAAACAGTCCAGTGGTACCTTTAAGACCAAGTTTTATTCAGGTACAAGCTCTCCCTCCTCTGCGAGGACAGATCTGCACGTTCCCCCTCCCCCAATAGCTAGCAATCCAAAACAGTCCAGTGTGGAGCCTGAGTGGTGGATGTTGCCTTCTGACACACTTCCGGTGATGTCAGGGGGTGTGGCATATGCAAGTGAGTTATGCTAATGAGCTCCTGCACCTCTTTTTCTACGAAATGATCCCTGCTTAACCTAGAAATATTTCCCACTGAACCTAGTAAAACATGTGCAAGTTTGTGATCCCTGTAGTGGATCCATTTGTCACAGAACACAGAAATGCACAGAGATTTTTATTCAGCAGTCTCTCGTTGCTTTCTTGGGATCTAACGAAAGGAACGTGTGGCTGTGCATTGAAAGTCATTTACCATTGGTTTTCTAAGGCTTACATAGTTAGGCTATATTCACAGTGGTTTAAAAGTGGTATGAAAACCGTTAAAGCATGTTTTTTAAAAAACCAAAACACTGGAGAAAGTGGGTCAACAGCCAAATAGATCAGTCCATTCGACTTACCTTGTCCAACAGCCATG